GAAAGAGGGAGACAACTGGAAAATTTCAGCAGATGCTGCACAAAATCCTGACACTGAATCCTAAGAGAAACTTACCACATCATCCCAGCTGCCTTTTCAGGAGCTTTTCCTGGGGTATTATGGCTAAAACATTAATTCCTCCAAGCCTGCCCACTCCTACCGCATGAGGTACATATCTTGATTAATGCATTAAAACTATCCACGTGGCTAGATTCTGACCTCAGGCAAGCAATAATGCCACCAAGTACTTCTGACTTCACACCATCGTAAATGAGAGCAGAAGCATGTTCTGTAGATCAGTTACACTCTGCCCATTTCCTGCTGGAAATGAACAGTTGGGTTTCTTCCTCTGCAAGCTCAGCTTTTGGCAATGGACCCTCAGTTAGAAGACTCAATGACGGGCCTTCATCTGAACCCACTGGCAGTTGGTGGTTTATTACTTGCTAACACGAAAAGCACACCTCAGCCACACCTTCTACACATACAGCATTTCCTCTGACTGCATGAAGGAATTATTTTTTTCTGCACCAACCTGATGCATGAAACTGCCTCCACAACTACCATTCCAGACAGCAAGGATCTGAGAAGTGGCTTCTGTTCTCTCACTCCAACAAAAAAAAATCTAGCTAATGCTGCTGTGATAACAGTCAAGTGTAGCAGTCATTAATCTGGATAAAGTGATTTTTCACATAAATTGCCTTCTCTCTCCTTAAAGCTTCAGGGCCAAAAAGAAAATACATCACTGAAACAAATGGCTGCTAGAACAAATGAGCAGACTGAAATGTAGAAGAGAGCAAGGAGAGCTAAGGAAGGGCATTCAGAAAGGAATTGAGCACAGAGCTGCTTACAAAAAAGATACTCTGAAGAAAAAATGAGTGCAGTTATTACCCTTCCACTTCACATATTCTTTCCATAGTTCCAAAAAGTGGTCGGTTTCCTCTTTGCTTTCCATATATACTCTGGAAGCAACTCGAAGCAACTGAGCTCAAACACAAACTCTACTTCATGAAAACGTGCTTAATTTATGCAGGTTATTTTTAAGACACTCAGTTTAGGCATAAAATACTTGTCTGTTCAGAAGTCCCAAAGCCTCTGCACTCATCTAGGAATGTAGATGCAAGATTTCTCTCTTAGAGAAATACAAATGCTAAATTGTAGTCAAGAACAATATTTGAAATCAGATGAAACTTCAAGTTAGAAAATGCCTCCTGAACTGCATCTCTTGGCTTTCTTATCCAACAAAGCAAATGCTTTAAAACTAAACATATTAACCTGCCCCCATGGAAAGATATATTCCCTAGTTGAGGCTGAAAAAGCCAGGTTTTCAATCCTCAGCATTCACTTAAAGCATTTAAAAAATGCTATGCAAACACATAGGTCCAAACATATTAAAGACCACGTGCTCCAAGCCTTCCATTGATTTCTCTACTCCTCACAGAGCACAGGTTAGAGATTCCTTAGTCAGCAAAAGGTAAAGTACTGTAGTTGTGTTAGCTCAGGTATCAGTCTCAGGTCGTATTTTTGAGCTCAAAGGTCTTAGCAAGGAAAACACAGATATGGAGCTGTTGGAGAAAGTCCAGAGGAGAGTCATGAAGATGATCCAAGGGCTGGAGCAGCTCTCCTATGAAGACAAGATGAGAAAGTTGGGGTTGTTCAGCCTGGAGAAGAGAAGACTCTGGGGAGACCTTATAGCAGCCTTCCAACCTGAAGGGGCCTAAAGGCAAGCTAGGGAGGGGCTTTTCACAAGGGCCTGTAGTGATAGAACAAGGGGTAGTGGCTTTAAACTGGAAGAGGGGAGATTTAGGTTAGACATTAGGAAGAAATTATCTACTAGGAGAATGGTGAGACACTGGCACAGGTTGCCCAGGGAAGCTGTGGATGCCCTATTGCTTGAAGTGTTCAAGACAAGGCTGGATGGGGCTTTGAGCAACCTGGTCTAGTGGAAGGTGTCCCTGACCATGCAGGGAGGTTGGAACTACATTATCTTTAAGGTCCCTTTGAACCCAAACCATTCTATGATTCTATGTAGAGGCTGCTGACCAGGAGTCACAGCAGCTCAAAAAGGAGACATGTGGCTTGATATTAAGCAAATAAACTCAGTAGGAGCCATGCTTTGTGATGGTGGTGGCAGTGCAAGCGGGTGGCTGAAGAAGAAGTGGCAGCAGCATAAGAGGTGGGAAATGAGAAGGCCTCAGGATGGGTCTGGAAACTGGGTTATGTAAGTAGGAGGGAGGGAAGCACATGAGGAAACAGCAATCGGGGCCAGTGGAGGGGGGAGAAGAAGAGCAAGGAGAGAGGGAAGTAGAAACAGTGAGGCTTACCTAAAAAAAACATCAAGGACCACTAGCCTAGAAGGTAAAGCCTTGGCCTGGGACTCAGGAGATGGAAATTTTATTATTTGCTCTGCTGTGCACATGCTGGATTACCTTGATTGGGGCATTTCCATGTTTTGTACCTCTGTTTCTGTGACATTTATCCTCTTTTTAAAGTGTTCTGAGGTAAAAAAAAGAATTAGTTACCCTAATTTATCTACTCAGAATTAAGGGAGGAGAGAAGAGAAGCATCTCCCCATTCTTTAAAAGATGCCATGTTTCCTTGTCTGCAGAAAAGCACTATGCCCTGATATGAATCCCTTTTCTTTTGTATTCTAAAGCAGATAATTATTATGGAAAATTATTAAGCATTCACACAGTTAAAATGACAGAGCATCTTCATGAC